ATTTTGGAGAACTTCGCATATCGACGGTGCAAGGCATAGTCCGAAACGACTGACAGCTACTGCTAATTTGTCCAGTGCTGCTTGGCACGTTTGGTAGCTGTCACGTATAAGGACAATGTCGTCAGTGTATTCAATCACTTCGGAGCACGTCCACGCCTTTTAGGTCGTGTCCAGTAAACGTAGTCCCCATGACTTCATCACTGCAGTAGTTAAAAGGGAAAGGTGGCATCGGACATTTATGTCTCACACCGCTGGATATATTGGAGGGCGACAAGAGTTTGCCCTTAGCCCTCACTCTGCCCGAACTATGCGTGTAAAGCACTGATAAAGTCTACGTATATTACGAGCACATCTTTTCTGGGTGGAAAGACTCACAGGGTATATCGATCAACCGAATCAAAGGCATTTTTGCTGCTGAGGAACACGACTACAGTGGCTCGCTGATAAATATGGCAGTGCTACAACAATTGACGCAATGTGAAGATGGGATCAATACAGCGCTGACTTCGACGAAGCCTAGGTTGCTGCTCACGAATCCGGCTTTCACGAGTGCCAGTAAATCTATGAAGAACAGTAGAGGCGAGTATTCTAGAGGCAATTGAGATCAGGCCGTTATATTCGGAACGCGAGCACCCTTTGAATATTGTGACTATAACGGAGCGGGTCCAGTCTCCCGGGACAGTTTCCTGCTCTCCGCAGATTCACAAGTACGTGATGCAGATAACTTACAAGAACAACCCCCTAGTTTGAGGAGGGCTGGGGGAACTCTATCTGCTCATGTTGCCTAATTCACTTTCATCACTCTGATCTCATGTTCGACTTTTGCGCATGAAGGCGGGTCCAGGGTGCCGGTTCATGAAGGACGATAATTAGCCGATGGAGAATCTGGTAACTGGTTGCTTAGGCCGCTTCAAAGTGTTGGGACGCGTTCTGTTTCATACGCTATCAGAAGGAGTGCAGATCGTACATATCTGCCACTCATTGTTTAATAGTAGTCAAAAGATACCTCAATCCTCTATCGTAAAGTATCTCTGCTTCTTGATATCACAATCTTGGTATAGACATACACTTGTAACTTAAAAACTAGTTGGTAGGCTCTTTTTATGCCCTCAAGCTCAAAATGCTATCCATTCCATGCGTTTTAATTCAAGAGTTCTTAACTGCTTGTATTTTCCTTCACTTGTTATAGTTCCCCTGTTATTCCTCCGGACTTCTTCAAAAAGATTATATCCTTTTTGTCTGTTCGCTAAATTTATCTTCCGTTACTCTCTATTAGAGAAATTACAGCTGATCGAGTATATCGTTAACAAAGCGTTCAAAGTATGTAACCACTTTTCATGCAGGATTATAAAAGACTACTTATCTTAGCTAGTATTTTATCTATCTATACTACATCATCATCAACAGCCATCTGAACTGATGCTTAGCTGCTGTACAACCACGGTTACCAAAGGAATGAAGAATAATAAGGGGGAGAAAAGGACCTAGAGTAAAACCTTGATATCCTACGCAAACATCCAACGTCAAGGCACCTACACCTTGTATCAATAATATGCTGTCACAAACAACTGCTATCGTGCAAATAAGCCGGCACCAAGGTGACGGCTTTCTTGCGGCTTTCACTGGTCCACGTCGTAATCACCCATTGCCCTGCATGTAGCTCAGCACTAAACACACTTTAAACAGGCAGTCCAACTAGGGACGATGGCAGACACGTCACTGGTGCCGAACCATGTCTTGTAATGTCTCGAGCCAGGCACAAAGATGGTCATGTAGACTCTGGCCTGGAAGGCGAGACTGACCAATGGCACAGAGTTGGGTCGTCGTTGACTTCATTTCCAGCTGCCAACTTAATTTTTTCCACCTCAATCCTTGCGCCACCCTACATCTAGCAAACGACACAAAGCACTCCTCGCTAAACTGTGACCAGGCATATATAGTACGTGCCCAAACCGACGCAGCTTATTCACTGTGATATACTGTTCTAAGGAACTAGCCTGATTATTGCTACCTAGCACTCACCTATGCACATAATCATTGCGGACACGCTATTGCCATCCGACAGCAACAGTGCTTCGCAGACGACGATGATCAAATGAGCTACGACTAAGGTTAGCAACCGGTTGCTTTTCCTGCCTCATTTACTGAGTTGTAGAGGGCAGAAGGGAGGACCCATATTAGCCCATTCACCTCCAGTTCGGCACTAATAATAATAATGTGTCAGCTGTACGCCGTAACGGCGCTTCGCTGCCGCGCGACCACCACCAGTCGCGCGCGGGCTGAGTATACCGCGAGGACGCCCACTCCATACGCGGATTCTAACCGGTGACCTTATGGTTGCAAAGCAAACGTGCAGACCACTCGGCCACCGGCCGAGTTCAGCACTAAGAGCACGTAAATCGACGCGACCCGGTAATCTTCAGGGAACTGGAGCGGTCGCAGTAAGACAGTGTGGCCTTAGTGTCTTGCGTCGGTGAGTATCTAAGACTTTAAAACTTTCCTCGGTCGTCGCGTCAATAACAGTCGCCCGCAGACGATTCCAGTCATTCACTACCCGACTGCCGACTCTGAGCCTCAGTTTGAATAGCTTCCACTTATGACGTCGTGTAGAGCTACCTATGGTGAGCTGAAAAAGCCTCTGTAACTTCTTCCCAATTTCCCTTAGTATGCGCCTCGTAAAGATGAGGTCTTCACGACAGCGACGGTATTCCATGGAGAACAGATTCCTCTCCTGAAGCCGGAGCGAGTAGTGAAGATCACAAAACTCGGAAACGGACTTTGATCCACGCAGCTGGACGTTTTTCATCAAGGCACATTTAAACTTCGAGAGTGGAAATGTAGCTGGCAGTCGATACTCTAGAATCTGGTGTACATAGGAGGTGAACAGGAGCCTGTAGATCTTCGGTGCCATTCGGGAGAAGGGTCTCCTTATGGCATAGTACATCCTGTTTGCTGCGGCAACCTTTTTCAGTGTATGCTGTGTGGTTTTTAGATCAGGTGCTATTATTACGCCTAGATTTTTCTCCTGAGCGGTGTGTTTGAGAAGGAACCCACCAATGTGGTAAGTTCCAAGTGGCTCAGAAGCCCCGATCGGTAGGGCGCAGCATTTTTCGTAGTTTATTGGTAGGCCCTTGATGGACTAGTTATGCAACACATCAAGGGTCACCTGTAGTCGATCAGCGGCGTCAAGGTCAGGCACTTCAGGTCACAGCCTGAGGTCATCGGCATAGATCAAGCACTCGGTTTGGAGTGTTGCAGAAAGATCACTGATATACGGCTTGAGCAGTTCGGGTCCAAAAACGGATCCCTGTGGAACACCGCTTGTCATAAGCACTGGTTTGGAAAGCGTCTCATTTTCTCTCACTAGCATGGCCCGACCTTCCAAGAAGTCGGCAATCCACGAGTGAAGACTGCCATTAATACCTATTTCTATAAGCTTCCAAAGTAGTCGCTGGTGTTGGACTTTGTCGAACGCTCTGCTAAATCGACGAAAACTACATCTGTGCGTTGTCCGGTGTCATTTGACCATGCTCGCTTTTTTCTCGCCACTACTAGGTTGGTGCAGCAGAAGCGTCCCTTCTGGAAACCATGCTGGGTAGAGGAAGTGATGTTATCTTCGTCGCAGTGCTTCTATAGAGCGCATTTGATGATCTTTTCCACGAGTTTACAGACGATGGATGTCAAGCAGATTGGACGATGGTTCGCAGGGTCTTGGCGATTTCCTCCTTTGTATTTAGACATTACATCTCAGTTTTGCACTCGATGGGTTAACGACCAGCCTTCAAAGACAGCTGAAAGACTTGGCAGATGGGTGAGGCAACATAGTCAGCCACTGTTGTGAGGAAAAAGGGGTTGCAAGCCATCAGAGCCAGGTGAGAAATTCGGGTTTGGTTCAAGTGAAAGTTGTGTCTGGCCTGAATTCAGTGAGTTCTAAGCAGTAGAGGTGCGTGGACTCATGTATGTTGGTCGACAGCTTTGGGCGAGTATACTGAGTACTACTACAGGACAAGCAGGTTCGCTTTTTCCTCCTCTTCATAAAGCGCGATTCCTGTCGCTTTGGATGACAGAAAAGGTATGCCGCAACCGGCTTTGGTTCTCTTGTTGAGACAAGCTTATAGTATTTTGGTCTAGAGGATGATTGTTCTGCTAAACTGAGTTCAAATTTTTGTGTCTTCTCTCGCTTTTTCTGGGAACACAAGTTCCTGGGTGCCTGGTAGTTCGAGTACTCGGATGCCAGTTGAGAGAACTTGAATTTTTCCCATAGTTTCCGTCTCGGATTCATGAAGCGCCGTTCCCACTGTACTGGTAACTTCAAAGGGACGTTTATTTAATTCTACCGTTCAAAGGGGACAATGTTTCAAATGAAATTGGTCATAAATTTACATCTGCTGTAACGCGCACTTATACCACCGCGTGTCTACGGATCCTTCACACAACACCGAGAATGGAGCTCAACTACCGTCCGAACAGTTCGTCAATCGGTAAGGCCTCATATTACCAGTTCACCTGCAGTTGCCGTGACGTCTATATGGGAAGGACCAACCGGCGACTGGCCCAAAGGGTAGCTGAGCATTTCCCAAAGTGATTGAAGCAATCCATGGTACAACATGGAAGTTCTTCAAAGTGCTGTTGATCAACCGCAACTCGAAAATGCTGGCACTCAGTGAGGCATTACTGATTGCGGTAAACCGACCGGTACTGTATGCGCAAAAGCAACTGCGTCAATCTATCAGATTGCCTTGATGATTGCTCAACTTTGACTTACTTGCATAATTTTGTTCCACATGCACATACGTTAATTTTTTTACCCAAATGTATTACGTTTGCGACTGACGAGAGTAATCGCAATGTTAGCATATCGCAACCTTTGTCTTCTGTTTTATGTTTATTTATGTTGTTGCGCTTTTCACACTACCGTATCCCATTTTTTGTTTCTTCTCTATATTATTTGTGCAGTATTATTTAACTCTAGGGTGCATATTTTCCCCTTTCATTTTCAGCCCATCGGAACTGCTCCAACTATCATCCAAAATCACTGCACACTACAATGGTGCGTTTCTTTTCGGATGAGTTCTTCCCTCCTATATATATATCCCTTAGTTATCCGTGCATTGGTGTTCCAGGAGGTTTATATGGTTGTAAGGAGAAAGAAAACTACAATCCACTTAAATGCTAAGGAAAGCACAACAGTGAGGGAGGTGAAGATGATGATCGAGGGAATCCTGAAAGTACCTCCTTCAGATCAAATGTTGTACAAGCACCAAACCGAAATGGAGGATGAGAAAACTCTCGGCTTCTACAATCTGAATGCTCAAACGGCTAGAGCCCACACCCCAGCCACACTGGGATTGTGTTTAAGAGACAAAGGCAAGTTGCACATTGCGTTGCTGTCAACACGTCACTTTGTTCATTTAGCCTATATGTGATATTATTATCTTCGGATTCAGTTCCTAATGAGACATCCATATCACTTGCGTTTAGGCATCTTTACGTTGTTTCAACGTAAACTAATACGCACAACACGTGCGAACCTCGTGACTATGTTTGAAACTTTTACCCTGTCACTGCATGTTTATCTCAGAACTGAACTGAATTATCCAAATATTTATCTCATGTTCCGAGACTGCTGTTCTCCACCGAACTCAGTCGATCTCACTCTATAGTATCCCGATTCAGTCATCGTGACGGGCTGACCTCAGAATTGGTTCACTGGCTAGCCTGGGACTTGATCGCTTGGTTGACTTTCATAAGCATCATGGGCATTGGAAAGTCATTTCGGTACCGATAAAAAGAGTTGATCCGCGCACAGTGTATACGGTCACCGTAGCTGTTACCGCAATGGTATTGATAGGAAGAATGACAAGTGCGAAAACTGCAATTGAACCGACGAATATATGGACTCGATAAAAAGACGAATATAAGTATGGCGAAGAGAATTGATATACGCAAATACGTCACAATATTCGTTGCTGAGCCATGTCCAAGATTTATTCGCTGCTGTGACGTCTCTAAAGACCCCGACTTAGCAAGAAGACAACCATGCTTTTCGGTTGGATTCGTTTCATGTTTTTTCATCAATTGGCCACTCTGGGGCTTTGCTCCACCAATGGAGCAGCAGTTATACGAAGGACGTTTCCCGTCCAACGTGGGCGATGCAGTTCACGAATTAGTTCAGAACGATGTCGATGGATTGTTGTCAGATAGCAGCAGGCGGAGCTGTGTTACTCACTCTGCCTCTTCTCAGGTGTGGGCGATGTTTTGCAATCAGCTGCGGTTCACTTGGACCGACCCCTTTGCGTTACCAGCGCGCGTCGGACATCTCTCAGAACAGCAATGTTGGCCACACTACGTTGCTGCGCATCCTACCTATTATTGGAATGCTATTACCACATCGTCTCCACGGATAAACTGAGGTTTTGACGAATCGTATGAGCTCTGTAATTGTTTCAGTAATTTGACCACCATGTGTGAATGCTCGGTAGTTGTGAGAGTTTGAGATGTCGACCAAATTCTGCAACGACTCCTTGCGATTCGAAGATGCGAAACACATACCCTAGAATACAGCGCTCTGCATCAGCAACAGCATTTGTGCAGAGGCTGGGTTTGATCCAAAAATTATCGTACCGTCCATTTTCTCCCCATTTTTCAACTGGCCTCCTAGCGGAACTTCTATTCCTTAGAAAGAATAGAGAACATCCAGCTATGAACTTTTCCCCACATGATTTCTTGATGTTCTGCTCGTCGCAGAAGATAATAAACCGCAGATAATAAACCTATCTGCTGCATCGCGCAGGGTAAATATGGGCTTGGATGCTGCTGCTCAAGCCTTCCTGTCTTTTTATTCCCCCTCTTACGCTTTACTGCCCCTATCGTCCCGTTCTGGCTTCATATTTATCCTCTCTGTTTTAAATTCTTCACTTATTGGCTTTCCCCTACCTTTCATCGATAGTCGTTTATCTTCTGGCTATAACTTATGCAAACGCGGAGCGTCACGCCTGCCCTGTCGACAAGCACATATCCTACCAAGCGGAGAAGCCCAGCTCATCGCCTTCCATTTGGAGCCCTCGATCCTCAGATTGGCATGCCTCAGCCTCGAAGTTTAGCTAGGAGTAAGACACACTCAACTCTTGTCCATTGGCCAGAACCAACCCACGGCGCTGCTGCTATGCACCACTGTAGCGTAGCTTGTCACTCGCAATCAAAATCAGCGTATTAGGAGAATAAGATTCTAATCTGTCATCTCCATGATAAATAGAGCAACAGCAAAATGACCGTTGTTTCATTTAGTTCAATCTAGAATCCTTCGGTAGCTAACGAAGTACAGAAATCACCGCATCATGCTTATGTTCAGTCTCGATGCGACCATCCCGTAAGAATACCCATCTCCACTGTTTTACCCGTGTTGCAGATGCTGATTTCTCTTCACATTGACCAAAATGAAAGCACACTTGCAAAATATGTCGAACTGGTACCTGAAGTCAGGCTAAGATTATTCAGTATCTTCTGGGAGCTTTTTGCTTCTGACTCGAAAACAAGTGCTTATTATCCATACGGTCCTTTGCTGTAAGCGACTAGTACTTGATGTGGTGACCCCAGTGCGAGCCGTTGTGTCATTCTGTTTGTTCGCTGCATACACGTACTAGACACATGCGCGGAAGTTGTATGTAGAGGACGTTGTTATCGACATATTTTTCGATTGTCGTAAACGGTTTTTTTGTTAGTTTACCTGAGAACAGTTCTACAACGGATGAGGGAAGGTGAAGCGTGCAATGACGATTAGAAGCACTACATGGGATGTGGATATTACCTTTTTGCACGGCTTACCACGTACTTCATCTGTTGCCTGTTGTTAACTCTGCATCTGGATGAATAAGACCACAGGGTAACTGACCTATCGTTTAGCACAACCACTCTCTCGTTGACACATGCCTTTCTCCCCATCTGGACCTCTTGATCGGTCATATCAGAGCTTCGGTGCACTTTTCGACACGTAGTTGGGAAGTCATCTTTTTACACGTTAGCTAAAGGTGAGAAACTTTTCAGCTATTGTACCATAACACAACTCAAGTTGGATGGTTCACTGTTTGTTCCTGTTTTGTTCATATGACCCTTCTTATTCTCCTGCATTGATTTTACTGTAATGAGAATCGTGTTTGATTGGTCAAATGCTGTGTTTGGTTCATGGCTGGGTGGATGAAATCCCCTACTGAAGTTCTAGAATTTTTGTAGGACATCTACCTGCATCCACCTGCTTCAATCACATTCCCAGTAATTGAGTTTACCGAGATTCACTTCAGTGCGATTCGCAATCCACATTGAGATTGCGCGTCTCATATTCCTACGAGTGCTTCATACTGGCCCTACAGTCAATCGTTAACCGTTATGACAAGCATTGCCCACTGCGACTCGGTGGCTAAACGATAGTTTTCGGCTGACACGCAGGACGCCCCGGGTTCGATGCTTGCTATCTCTACCTGATTTGACCAATTAAAGTTCGAAAGCGGTCGTGGTGTGCATTGTTTTCTGTCGTGCAACACTCAACGTCTGTCTGTTTATAGGACTTTTGTTCAAAGACCGACACACCAGTAGGACAGAACTGGCGTTAGATAGATTGCTTTTCGTTCCCTAATCTGACAGTGCATTGAGACCGCTGTATGCTTTCAAGTTTGAGTGGTCGTGAGGAAGACGAGACAATACTATCATTTTCCATCACGTTCACTTAGGAATCGCACGGTGTGCTGACTGATAGTACGTTTTACTTATTGTTTTCGCCCAACTTCTACGATTATGCTGTTTCATCATCCTTTTTTACCCTTCCACATCTAAATTACAGCAACGGAAAAGTTCGAAGTGTTGGACATTACGCCGTATTCCAACCCACCAGAATTACCGGAAGTAATGCGATGCCAGGAGAACATGGCACCTCAGCCTGCACAAGAAGTCGCTGCCGGTGGAAAGCAGTAATGCTCTCGTGATCGGAGCGGTCTTTATCGTTACCCGCTCCTTCGTGTAATATTTCTGATCTACTGACGGTTCTTGCATTCTGGACGTTCACAGATATCTATTGTCGAACATCTCGAATTAGACCACGGTTGCCGACTGAATATCAACCTCATACGAACAGTATCACGTTTGTTTAATTGCTTTTGATTGGATTCTTATGGGGCATAATTCTTCTTCGATCATTCAGATGCTGGAAGACTACTCCTTACATCATAACACCGTGTCCTCGCACAATCGAGTAATTCAAAACCACCGTGCTTGCAGCTGATGTGCTTTCGCTGCATGCTCTTCACTAGCTTGCTGAATCTTCCTGGATTCTGTCCACATTTGTTTTCGCAATGCACATTTCACGCGAGCACTACTTGGGAAGCAAAGCCAAGTTTGTACTGCGATCAGAACTCCGTTCTTTATGAGCAGTGGAACGCAAAAGCGTGTCACTCCTTTGTAGCTATTTTTCATTATCCTTCTAATGTCGCCGGCCTGCATTCATTAGCCTCTCGAGTCGCGCTCGACCCAACTAGCATCTTATTCTAGGTCCTGAGTTTTGTTCATCTTAGGCCACACTACTTCGGCGTTGTCCATCTAGTTTGTGTAAATGTGGTCAGCTGCCATAGACTGTACTAGATTGCTTTATCGTTTACCTCATGTCAGATGCTTCCGCCAGAACTACTAGACAGTTTGTATGACACTGCGATAAGGCCAGTGTTACTGTATGGATCAGAGACCTGGCCAGTTCGTAGTTAAGACATTAAACGTTTGGCCATGTTTGACCACCGGTGCTTGCGGGGTATTGGTCGCATCTGGTGGGAACACCGAGTGAGCAATGCCTTTTGGTTTCTGGCAAGAAGCCTTCCGGTGTCTCACTCGAGTGTTTACTGATTCTTAATCGCTTACGTTGGTTAGGATGTGCTGCGTATGCCGGTTGAAGGGCTTCCTCTGCGTTCATTGTACGCCGTGGCTGCACCAACCTGTGCGAAACCGCGAGGTGGCCAGTCGATGAGGTGGCATAAGGACATGGAGATAATGACCGACAGACTTGGTCAGGTTGGTGCATGCCGTCTTCGTGGATGAGGATCCCGGGATGGTTCACACCAATGGTTGAAGACCCTTTCAAACATGGTGCAGCCGCGCAGTCAATGATGTCCTTGCATCTAGCTGCTAATCTTCATCCCATTTGGTTTATTTTAAAGCACCTTGATTCCTTTTTCTTTACGTTCCGTTTGCATTAAACCTTATTCTCCTATTGTTATTATTCTGGCAATGTGAGTCGTGGCAACTGAACACATCGCACTTCGGTGTCCGGATCATCGTTGTTTGACTATACTGAGCTGCCAGTTACCATGACAATGGAGACGTAAGCATCCATATGTATCCAGTGTTTACTTTTGTCTTCCGTTCATGATGTTTTAGCAGACCAGTATTCTGCCACGCTGCTGTTGTATTGCAAGTGATTCGCAGTTTAGCATAGATTTCTAAGATTTGTGCTCTTCTTCAGAGTTACTCGGGTCATATCGCTCATCGGCTGTGCTTTGGGTCACGGAGTGTTTGTCTGTCGCATTAGACACACAAGTGCTAGTGCTTGGACGCATCCAGAGACTATCAGAAACGAGCGTTGCACCGCTGCGCTAATTGCTGGTGCACTGATCTAGATTCGCTTGACCTTGCAGGCAAATGGCTAGGATACTCTCCTCTGAGGCCGTTCGGTGGCCGAGTGGTCTACACGCCTGGCTTGCAATCATAAGGTCACCGGTTGGAATCCGCGTAGGGGCGGGCGTCCTCGTGGTATACTCAGCCCACGCGCAAATGGTGGCGGTTGCGCGGCAGCGAAGCGCCGTTACGGCGTACAGCTGACATATTAGGTCACAACTGGTGACAGAGATAGGTCACAAATGCTCTCAGGTATTGGCATTCGGCATGAAACTTCAGATCAATAACCGGTTGTTTTCGTATACTGTGTCGTAATTGCTCCCCGTGAACCAAAATCTAAATCTGGGCCTCGATCAACGTACTGTATTTTAGAAAAATATATGCCCACTTTTATATTTTCCATCAATTAGACCCTATCACGAATGGGCTTATTTCAACCGGTTGATCCTTTAGCGACAATTACAGTCCAGATCAACTCTCCACTTGCTGTCATTGATTTGGATCTATAGACGCGAGCAAGCAATAGGTCGGCCGGGGGCCATTGCTATTCGCTCTCCCGACAACTACCGCCCCACTATGGCTGTTTTGAAACATGCTGGACGCCTCGACACGTCATTTCCCCCGATCCCCATATATTTGGATGGTGAGTGGACGCCGCATAGAATTCTGGAATGTGATAATGCTAGCTATTTTGGGTCCATGTAATTTGCTTTATGTCAACAGAGCCTGTCATTCGTGTACAACTTGCTTAGCAGAAAGTTATCGAGCGAGCGATCATGCATCTCGCCCGGAAGACTTGTTTTGTTGTCATGTCATCTTCATAGTGAATGGTCTTATACCTTGCATCATTACCCCACCGATCAATATCTTGCAGGTCAATCCTGGCGCCACCGGTCACCCACAGTCAATTAACGGAGACACGGGCCTAGGATTACCTGATATTATGGGTTCTTACTTAAATAATTTCAGAATCTGATGCCCACTAAGAATCAGATGCTCCATAATTGAGCTGTTGATACTTCTGTGCATGCCTCTCCGCAATGACCCTGGACAATGTTCAGCTATTCGTACCGACAGACGCCTGGTCGTATGCCCGAGGTACTTTGCACCACAGGTGCAAGTAAACTGGTAAACAATGTACGATTCGGACGACACTGGCAGTCTGTCTTTAAGGCGTTGAGCTATGAAGGGAGCGGTCTCTGCAACTACATGCGGTTGGGCGGCCGGGTAGGTTCTTGCTACGACATTAGAAAGTCTTCTGTTCAGGAGATCGAAGGCGATATCTCCCTTAAAAGGAACAGTGAGAAACACATCCTTCTTCGGAACCGTTGCTACGGGCTTATCACGCTCACGGGTCATGGCATGCTTTTTGATGAAAGGCTCTGGGTATCCATTCGCAAGAAGTGTTTTCACAACTCGGTCTTCTCGTCTTCGAGAGTTTGGCTGTCATTGGTTCACTGATCCCCATATGTGACATCTAGGAATTGTTCAGTTAGAAAGCACCAGCTGATTAATGAAGTCTGACAAGTAGAACGACCTATGTTCCCTCGGTTCTCATTTGGAATGCTTTGCGTAGCAGACGTAGCGAAACAGCAGTGACACTTGATCATCGCGGTTCAGATAAACTAAGAAACCGTTTCTTTGTCCTTTGTGAATGTAAGGCTTCTTACCTGTACCTATTAAGACAACGGATCTGAAACATCGAGCTAGAGATAAGCCATTGATATTCACCAAACCGAATTAGAAACTCAACTGTAACTCGCTGACGAGCAGAATGTTGTTCAAAGTACTCCCTAATGTGCAACGAAAGACGTAATTGTACACTACCCATTGATGAGCGGAGTCTTATCGATGTCTACAGTGACCTATAGGATACACTCCCGGTCGCATACGTCGCTTGCTACGGTTGTTCTGTTACCCTATTTCGATTCAATTCCATTCCGTCATCATGATTTCACTTGGGATGTCACAAGATTGGGATGTCGAGGTGCCGCTTGGTTGGCTTAGATTCATCATTATACACATTCGCTAGAGGTGGAAAAACAGCTACTGTGCCGCAATACATGAAAGAAAAAAGCAAGATGCATGCCAGATGAGCTATCAGTAACGGATGGTCATCGTTCCGGAAAACTACCGGCCGGCTACTAGGCAACAAAAAATTTATTTTGTAAAATTATATACTAAGAAATGAGATCGTGGTTGGAGGGGGAGGCTAAGAGGGATTGGGAGGGACAAAGAAATTCACAGCACGAACCCCATTGAGGTCGGCTCCTAGCAATATCAGCAAGTGTATCCAGCCAAACGTGTTCATCGTTTTTCGGACCCCAACCAGGGAGCCGAGAAGCTCCAACAGAGGCCAGCTACATTCCTCTTGAACAAGTCATCACTTGGCCACCTCTCCTTTTCTTCCATCCACACCCCCGACGCGCAAACAACGCACATCGCGGGAGTCGGTGGGCTAGCATGCGTAACACGTGTCCCAGCCATCGGAGCCTGGTGCGTGAAATGACGGTGCTGAGCGATTCATTTCCTTTTCCTGTGCCGTAAACAAAGCGTTGACCTAGATTAAGCGATCTCAAATCTGACTGTTTGATAATCCCAAGGCGATTCATCACATCTGCACCCAGTCTGAATGCTGCTTCGATCTCTCGGGACAGGGGTAGAAAATACCTCAGCTGTTGTGCCACAGCATATAGAAAAAGTAAAAGAAAATCACGCAACAGAGGCACGCGAGCACAGCCACCAATAACGGATGGGTATCGTTCCGGAGAGCTACCAGACGGCTGTGCCGAAAAAAGTCAGTATGCCCAGGAAATGAGATCGTGTTTGGAGGGGAGGGACAAAACTCACAAAAGCCATGGAGGTCGGCTCCTAGTCACATCAATAAATGTGTCCAACTGGACTTGTTCATCGTCTTTCGGATCCCAACCAGGGATCCGAGAAGCTCCAACCGAGGCTAAGTTGAAAATAAGGGCCTTCATCCCTCTTGACCAAGTAATCGCTTGGCCTTCATTTTCTTCCATCCACATCCCCGGCGCGCAAACAACGCACGTTGCGGTAGTCGGTGGGCTGACATGCGCAAAACGTAGCCCAGTCATCGGAGCCCGGTGCCGGACTAATCGGTATTGCGTCTTTTATCCGCCAGTTAAGGAGCTAGAACCTGCACTTTCGTTTCAGCGGTCAAATTGACTGGGCCGCGGTGGTTTTAGTGGCAGCCGCTGTGACCAATTGACTAGGTGCGCTAGAGCTCAACACTTGTCACCCGCCGCCATGCGCGTCTCCAGCGTGTAGAGGACAGTGCTGCCCTCAATTGA